AACTGTGCCTTGTTCTTCACACGCTCATTGTTCAATATTTCATTCCAGCCTGCACCTCCTTCATGCGTCTTCATTGCTGAGGCCAAAAGGAGCAGGTATCTCCTGCTTTTCCAAAGTTCTGTATCATGCAGCTTTGCTTGAAAGACCTTCGTTAGTAGCTATTTTCACTAACTGAAATGGAAGAGGATTTTTCACTTTTACGACAAAAATCAAGAACAGCACTCAGAACTTATTTTGCAGCTGCCATTATTGAAGCAGTGAGCAGCCCAAGCAGCAAGAGTAGTAGCACCAAGCTCCTTTCCCAGGAATCACTTTATATGGGCATTATATTTATCCTATACCTACTTTTACTATAGCTTAGTGCTGTTTTAGGTTTTATGTGTTATTTGCAATGGTTCAGTAGGCTATTCGGGGGTACTGGGAATACTAAAAAGTGTTTCCATGTAAATTAATGGTAACTGCTTACTCGCTTTATGACTTTTTGGCTTATGAAAGTGTTCACAGGGCCACTCTACTTCCAGAGTGCAGGGAAAATGTGTATCCTCCATCCTATGCTCCAAAGTCTGTTACTAGAGGCCAAAAATGCTCTTAAAACCCTAAGTGGTCTCCCTCCAACAGTTCCTCATCTTATTTCTAATGTTCTGGTATCTGAAAGAATTCCCCAAAAGGGGCAGTTTGTTTTCCCCAAAGAGACCTTCAGTGAAAATACTGCTACCCTTGAACAAAGTGCAGGTGCAAATCCTTGTCTAACTTGATCCCTCAAAACTTTGCTAATTTAAATAGTTTGCTTGACTAGAAGACTTACCAATAACATAAAGTTGACTAACACATTATGTATGCTATATATGTATGTATATCGCATATATACAAATATATACACATATATATGTATATATGTATGCTCTATATATGCTTATAATAAAGCTTAAAATTGAAAAAAAAATACAGTACTGTACTGTATTGATCTCTTAAGTTTGACATCTGTTTACAAGAAAATCCAATATAAGTGGTGTTGCATAAGGATGATCGAGAGCTGACCTGAGGACGTAAATTGCGTCTCAGGTGTCAGAGCCCCCTTGAGGCTCACACGTGGGCTTGTGTGATGTATGCAGTTCAAACCCGTGCTCTTCAAGGATCAGCTATATTTTATCTGGTGCTTTCAGTTTGGTAACATTGCCATTTATTCAATGAAATTTTAATTCAGTGAAAATTTTTTACAAAGCTAACCTGAAGCTGTTTATATTATCTTTTCACTTCTCTTGGTAACAGTGTAACTTGGAAATTTGGTATTGGAAACTACAAAGAGTCCGTGATGATTCCTTCACATTCTGAATCTATACACATTGATAAAGTAAAAACTTAGGCAAGGAAAAGAATGCCTCATGTCCTCTGAAGTATTGTAACCCTTTTTTCCCCCAAAAATATTTATTTATGCATACAAGAACTGGGGTACAGGCCAGAGGTGCGGGGGTTGAGAGGATTCACCAGAGACAGACTGGGGAACAGAACAGGCAGACTGGCTGAAATACACTGCTGAGGGGAGCAGCAAGCGAGACAGCAGAGGTCTGCTGTGCCATGTGGTAGCTCCCTGGTTGGCCAGGGATCCAATTTACGCTTCAGAGGCTGTGGATAGCTTCATAGTGCTGCACTTAACCCCTTGCACCACCAGGAGGCCTTGTAACCCTTTCTTTTAAAAAACAAGAGCTTTTATTAATTTGACCAGATAACAACTTCCAGTATTTTCTAGATATAATAGCAACTGGAAAATAAAGAACAGTAAACACTCCCATACACCAAGAAGAGCTTTTCCTGAAATCTTAACTTCTTTGGCAAAGCGTGTCTCACTATCAGAGTTCATAACTGTTAAATGCATTTTGGAAATCAATTTTCTGGTTTATAAAAAGTCAGCATTTCAGACCAAGTGCTGCTGAGATTTTTGTCTTCTGGCTTAGTGTGCTAATCTGATGAGACATCAGAGTTTACCAGCATTTACTCAATGGCATTCACCCAGGCAAATGAGTGACAAACAGAAAATGGGAAACATACTTAGAAAACTTGCATTTATAATTACCACCAAGCAGATTGGAAATTTAAACATCTCCTTTCCACTTTACTTCTTCAAACCCACATCCCCAAAACCCCTATTTTGAAGAGCAGAGGCTCCTAATCTTTTCAAGCAGTGAAGAAACCTTTTGAGAATTTAATGAAAGCCAAGAATCATCTTTTATCTTTGGACAAATGCATTCACCCATGATTTTGCACATATTTGGAAAAAGGCTAGCCCCTTGAAATCCAAACAGGAGTCTGTGGTTAAGGAAGTCTGGAGCCAAAGTCTGCAAGTATTTGTGTTGCTGCCTCTCACAACAGCCACTTAAATTGCCTCCACGTAGTAGAGGATGAGTAGATCACAGGGGTCCTAATATTGTAGGGCTCACGGGCCACATATCCCAAAGCCAAAGCCTTCCCAACAGGTTTCCCAAATAACCTCTTAATAGTACAGAATCCTGCTATGGAAATATCCCCTTAAGAACTCAACTCAGACTGGCAGTATTTCCCATAAATTTGCCCTTGACAGGTTAACTCATGCACAGTGCTGTTACTATTCATACTGAATACCATTTTTGAGGGCATTACTGTACTGGGCACGCCACCAAACATTGCACGAATTTTTATTCGATGTAAACCCAGAATATCCATATACTGGGCAGCATCGTCCTAATTGTACTGATGTTAAAGTGTCTTCCTTAAGGTCACGTGGTTCAGTTACTCATTCAAACTCCTATGTGTGGAAATCTGAAGCCAGTGTAATTGAAGAAAAATATACAACTTGAAACTTCTAGAAATCATATGTGGCATCATAATTATAAACAGGGCCAGTGTTTTGGTCCTGAGGCCTACAGTCAAGAGTTCGACAGCTAGGATTTGCCAGCTGGTCACGTTCCTTCCTAGAGCCAAGTCTTCACCCACCCCAGCAAATGGTCCCACCCCAGCAAATATGTGAACAGGTGTGAGAGAGGATCCCTGCCACTCCTTGCTGACTCTTCTAAATATAATGAAAAGTATGTTCCCTACTGTTACTCTCTCAGCAATGATATTTGCACACTCTATTCTCTAATGCCAGGGTACAAGGAGGTGGCTGGAAATGGTAAGAGCACCATCCAGTGAAGAATGGTATTTCTCACAAAACATATAGTTTTTTTTTTAATTATGGGGCTTTATGGAATTTTTTAGCCCTTTATTATGGAATATTTTAACAGATATACTGAACCCCTATATAACATTATCTGGCTCCAGCAATTATTAAACTCATGGTCAATGATTTTTCATATGAATCATGACTCACTCTTCCTTACCCTTACGTGATTTTGAATTCTCACATGGTGCTCCCAGACATAAAATTTTATTTATAAATAAGGGAAATATTTAGTGATGTCCACACTGGGCAGTGGTTATGTCCACAGCTTGTTTCACTGCTGGAGTCCTCATGATAATTAGTCTGTGAACTCTAATTATACGTGTGTTACTCTATGCCATTAGTAACACTATGGTACATCAGAAAGAAAACACAAACATGATATGAAATAGAAAAATCTATCAATTCTATATATTTTTTAAAGTAATTTTATTTTCTATCCTGCTGTGGTCTGTGCAAAATATATGTGGCTTCCTGTGCTCCACACAGGATTACTTTAAGGTTTATGTGAAATAATATCTATAAAAACCCTACACAACTAAGAGAAATTATTGTTTCTATTCCCCTAAATAATACTGCTGTTGACTTAAGATAAACTATCTGCACCTGGTCATCTAAACTCAGTGAACCTTGTTGACCTACATTCTTCTCTCACTGGGAGTTCTGAAAGTTCAGCTTGCAGTGAGATTATAATATCCTGAGAAATAATTTGTAAGAAATACAAAGTACTACAAATAACAGCCTTGCTGCTGCAGTCACACATGCCATTGATTATCAACACTGCTATTCCCAGCTGCTCTTTGGGTATTAAGCCCCACAGATGCTCTAACCATTTCTGGGATCCCAAGGCCTGTCCTACCTCAGCTAAATAAAACTGAACCCTAATGACACTGCATGTTCTAGTCCACTGGAGCCCCCTTGGGCACGTTTACCTCCTCTCCCTGCAGTTATCATTAGAAGGATGGAAGAAAATGGTTCTCTAAAAAACCCTGGACAAGATGAACCTTATGATTTAAATAAGAATGTTACACGTTCAGGCTTTCTGCTGAGAAATATATATACGAATTACATTTGGTTCCAAAATATTTTTAAGGCATGGTTTGCTGAGGTAGGATTCTCTGGAGAGGAGTTATTTTTTGTAATAATTTTAGAGAAAGTAAAACAGACATTTCACAAGAGAGCATAAGTAGAAATAGATCTCAAAGAAGACATTTATGCAAATTATATATATTTACTTTCAAGGACTAGTAAAAGAAATACTACATAATGTTTTAAAAGGGAAAAAAAAAACCCACTGGTCATTTGCTGTATAATACTTTTAATGCTTAAAAGAAAATTAAGCACTTAATCTGACGTCTCAGTGAAAGCCTCACAATGAACCAACCCTGTGAGACAGGGACAGAGGCACTCAGCAGAGTCCCTTCTGCCTGGTGCAGGAAGGCCCAGTAGACAGTAAAGCAAGACATGAAGTAGAGGAGCAAGATTCATACAGTACAGCTGAAGTATTTCTTGAAACAAAACAAACCACCACACAAAGAAAGATGAGCTACCCCCTGGAGGATTTGTAAAAGCTGGGGTGGATTATGTAACCAGGCAGAAGGTATCTGGCACTCTAAACATCAGATTTACAAACTTTCAACACTGCTTTAGTCATCTGAAATTGAAGATGCTGACAGCAGCATCATATTATAAAAGATCTGAATAGCAGATCTTTAAAATGTTACATTCCGCAAAATATTAGGACTTCTGACTGAAAATATCACTTGAGTTTATTATTTAAAACATTTATAAAAAGAGAAGTGAGAAGTTTAGAGAATAAACAAACTTTATTTCATAACAGTATTACAGAAAGCAAAATATCATTTAATACAACTTGAAGCTGCTATAAATCTAATCTGGCATTGTAACTATACATGGGGTTGAAAGCAAAAGAAAAAAAAAGGTTCAATACAGTTAATAAGTCTCTATCAGGTCTCTGGTGTCAGCTTTAAATGGCATAGCTTCCTTAGAACCATCAAAAAACCACCATAGCCCCTTCTTTCCCCAGTGTCCTCAAACCTGTGTGGATCATCAAACTATCTGAAAGAGTTAAAGCTGCTCAGTAAGGAAAGGTCAGTTTTACATGAAGACAAGGAGTTTAATACAAAGCAAGTTCTACACAAGTGTTCAAAGGATGGAATTTGGACATGTTAAGAAAGAAAGCACTAAGGTTTTAAGCTGCCTGAATATTTTAGTAGGAAGGAAGAAACCATTTGCTCTTTTTTCTCCCTCCTGTTTCTGGAATGCTGCCGAAGAGGGTGTGTCCGAGAAGCATGGGCACTGTGGTGTGACAGGGTCTCTAAACACAGTGCAAGGTCAGCGGACGTCTTCATACTGCTCCAGTCTGGAAAGTCTCTGACTTTCTACTAAAAGTGAAAAGTCACAGGACTGGAAAGTCAAAGGGGCTCAATATAAAAAATATCCCTAATGAAATTCTCAAACATTAGAAAAATTTCCAAAAGGTAAGAAATGCTTTTAATCTGTATTAATATTTTCTCATCCCGTCTATTTACTGAAATCGGAAAACTCTGTAAATATTCATAGGAAGAATTCAATGGGAAGAATTTGGAAGAAGGAATGCTTCTAGCTAAATTAGTCACAGAGTTTCCTTTCCGCACAACAGCACCTGTTCAAGTGAACGGCACCTTACCAGCCTGGGCTGGTTTTGTTCACTATCATTTGATCAAGATGAGTCATAAAAAGCAGGTAGTTGTACACAAAGTAAACAGGAAACAAAAACAAAGCTCCCTAGTAAAAGAAAAGAATATTTAGAAGTGGTTATAAAACAAAAAATATGTATTAAAATGAAAGGGAACAGTATAGACCAGAGCTGTTAAGGTAAGGTTTGGTGTTGGCATTTTAATTCTTCAGGCTTCTGGTCATTGTTACCAGGTGGAGTATATATTCGCTGGAGTAGTGGTGTGGCATGGTCAAAATTCTTCAGGTTCACAAAGTTGAATGTTGTCTAAAAAATGAATTTCTAGGAGGAAAAGAAAGAGACAAGGTTTAAATATTCCAAAGACAGTGGCTTAAAGAAAAAAGTAACACTCAGCAAATTTCAAAATCAAGTAACCAACAGTTACTATTTGCCTAGTTCTACAGTTAAATAATGTGTTTACCAGAAAACGTGCCAGCATATCTGTTCTGCCCTTGAGGGCATTCAATTATCTGGATAATTGACAAGCTTACTAGAAACAAATGCCAAATAAGAATACACCAAAATAAAAGAGTTAATTATAAAACAGGGCTAATTCATATAGTAAAAACCTAAAAAAGGAAACCAATTCAGGTATTAGATTACTTCAAGTAAGAGGAAAATCAGTCAATTTTTACCTCATTAAAATACAGTTAATTCAAGGACATTAGGCTTTTTTCCCCTTTAAGATATGTAATTAAAAATTTAGAACCATAAATATAAAGAATATAAAGGCAATGTCAGTATATGAAAACATGTCTATTAAGTCCACAGAGGCACATAACCAACTAAGACTAGAAAGATGCATGGATATAATCTAAGGGAATATAATGATATTTTTCAAATGTATAAGGTTTTCTATATGCCTGTTTTTACAATAAAAACAAAATTTTAAAAAGAAAGTGTTTCAGGTGGGAGAACAGAATGAGGAAAGAGGTATGAAGTGAGAATGTATATGATATTAAGGTGGGTACAGAGAAATAGGAGGCAGGAATGAAGAAATGGATGTTCCTGAAGCTAAGTGTTGGCAGAGCGAGTAATAGAAGGTAAGTTTAAACATATTCGGACTACTCTTTAATACCAGACTGAAAGGCATGAACTCGTTCTAATAGACAATTCATTAATTCAGAAAGAGAATTCCGACAAAACTACCCAACTGTCCATTGACTGCAGTGATCCAGTGTGTGTGAGAGGCAGAAGATACGTCCAAGAGCCAGCGGGTAGCTAGTCCACATGGGGTCTGACAAGTCCAAGAGAGGAGGAGAATCTGATTCTCCTTCAGTTGTGAGGAAGGTTTGACCTGGCCTGATTGATGTTTTGAAAACCACACAGCAGCTTTTCAGTGTGATGAGCAGGCTAATGGTGGAGAGGAGTGGAGATAGGAACACCAGTCAGAAGGTGATTGCGGCAATTAATGCTGCAGGAGGAAGATGACAAATGTCATGGCAAGGACCCAAACTCGGTGGATGTACAGAAAATAGGTGAAAGGGAGGACTTTGAGAAGCACTGCTGAAGAAAAAGAATCAGGGTGGTAGTGGAAGCAAGTATGAGAGGTCTATAGGCTTTGGAGTCAGGGACCTCAACAAAAGAGAATGACAGGCTTAGAAGTCAAGGAAGAGGGTGTCCTGAGGACTAGGGACACATATTTGTAAGTCTACAAGACACCAACTGATGGAACTAGTCTCATCAGCATGTAAGGAAAAATGTAAAAGATGATTCGTAGGAAAGTTTGCCATCAAAGGTAAGCAGGTAGGAGAGAAGACCAAAATAGCAGTGAACAAGGAGGCAGACAGAAAGGAAGGATGGTACACTGCCTCTGAAAAAGAAAAAGGAATCTACAAAGGCCAGTTGTTGCACTTTTTCATTGTGACTGGAAGTTTTGGCAAATGGTGATTCCAGAGGATAGTGGAGAGCGGCAGCTATGTCCTTTCCAAGAGACCCAAGGTCAATTAGAATGCACACGCCTCTGATTAACAAACAAAAAAAAAACCTCCCCACCATTTAATCCCAGATATTAGTATCTTGATTATTCCAGACATTGATTAATCAAATTTATTGTTTCCCAGCCTGTTGTCTGCTTTAGGCTATTTCACTACTCATTAGTACTTCTCCTTGATTTCTACTGAGAAAAAAAAAAATCAATGGAAAAAAAACACCAAAGTGTTCTTTTTTTAGATTAGTGATTATGAAAAGAAATGGGGGAGGAGGGTAAGAAAATGGGTAACACTACCAATCAAATTAGACTGGGGAGTTATGTATGACTGTCACTCATGTTATCTATTCTTGTTCTTTGAAAGCTGGTAGCTCTGTTTTCTTTGCTTAGTGAATGTGCCTTGTTTATTGAACAGCTGCCACTTTGCCTAGCTTATGTTATAGAACATAAGCCCTGACATTACTAGTGCCTGGAAACCTATGGAAAAGAATGAGGGTTAGCTTTCTATTCTCCAATTCCTCTAGGCTCCATGCCACTGTATTTCACTGAATTGGCTTTCCTCAAAAAAGAAAATTTTAATTTGTAAAAGAAAGCTAAAATTAAACTGCTTTCAAAGTCATTAAGTGATAAAGAGGAATCTAAGAGTATGTAGAAATGGAGTGAAAGACAAGTTGATTTCAAAGAATTTTGGTTATTTATTGAAATATATGTGGAGAGACAGTTATCCTTGTACAATCTCAAATACCATTTACTTTCACTATTTGCAAGCAAACCACTAGAGTAAAACAAACCAACTTTTTTGTTGTGATAAGTATTGTAAATAACAACCTTAATGTGCTTGTAGGATTCCAAACAGCTTTCAGAATAATAAAAAAAAAAAGGGTTATTGTCAGTTTAATGGTAAGTGAATTTTTATCTCATTATTTAAAAAGTAGTAAATCAGGTATAACTCAGAGTTAGAATATGTTTCAGAACCTCCTGTTCCTTATTGCTCTAAATGAATAGGGAGAAATTTATTGTATGATGTTTATTATTCACACACTCACCAATCTTTCTTTGACCACTTCCTGCACTTAAACACAACAGAAAAAAACACAAGTTTGCTTCCAAGTAATAAATACCCAGGTTTTGAGCAGTAAACATCTAATTTACCAAGTAATAAACATCTAATTTTTGAGCAGGAAAGGAGAAAAGGATGGAATCACTGTCAACCCACAAGGATCAGACATACACAACTTTTTAGTCCTGGCATGTATTTGTGAGGGGGAAAAAAACTTGACATGCGGACATTCTTTTCATACCATTTACTTTACCTTCATTTTCTTTTAAACTATGATTTCCCCCCTACCACTACTCCTTAAGAGTCTACTATCCCCCTCCCTCTTAAAACAGGGCCCTCGGCCTCCCCTGGTGGCGCAGCGGTTGAGCACTGGGCTGTGAAACTGCCCGCAGCGCCAGTTCAATCCCCGGCCACCGGGTGAGGGTCCCACATGGCACGCAGAACTTTCTTGCTGTGCCCGCTGCTTCCCTCAGCAGTGTATTTCTTCAGTCTGCCTGTTCTGTTCTCTGCTCTGGTGAATTCTCTCACCCTCCTGCGCTTCTGACTGTACCCAGTGCTTGTATAAATAATCTTTAAAAAAAAAAAAAAAAAAAAACCAGGGCCCTCATGGGCTCTGTTTATTGATATCCATTGGTTTTTAAAAAAGTTTTACATTATCAAATTGCCCCTCATGTAAAAGTCCAATATTTGTTTTATGGTTCTAACTTACTTTACTATACATAATCCTCTCAAACGCTCTCCATTTTGTTGACATGGTGCATTTCATCCTTTCTTACAGCTGCAGTGTTCCATGTATCACATTCTCTTGTGTCAATGGACGTATAGGCAGCTCCTGGGTGCTACTGTAAACACTGCTGCTATGAATACTGAGACTCAGGTTCTTGTGTTGGGGTTTCCTAGTCTTTGGATGTATGCTCAAGAGTAGGACTGCTGAGTCATGTGGTATTTCCTTAAGTTTACGGTAAATCCACACTGTTTTCTATAATTGCCTCAACAGTTTACATTCCTATCAACAGTGTAAGAGGGTTCCTTTTTCTCTGCATCATCTCCAGCACTTGGTATTGGAGGTTTTTTAATATGTACCATTTCTGCAGATATGAGGTGGTATCACATAGTGGTTTTAACCTTCATCTCTCTTATTGGAAGTGATGATGAACATTTTTCTTATGTCTGTTGGTCTTCTGGATATTCTCTTTGGTGAATTGTCTGCTTATATCTGCTGTTTTGGGTCTTTTTTAACAGACTACATTTTGGATTTAAATGAATAAGCCCCAATCTCACTGGAAAGCAGGCACTGGCTCTTCACAGAGAACTGCAAAATTTCAAGAACTCTCTTAAAGTTTGAATTCTACCTCATATTTATGTAAGTTTGGATATCTTTATACATACTCACAGGTATTATGAGCATTAAACACTTACTTTTACCAATATCCTAACATTTACCTTGATTTGGATAAGATCATTGTTATTAAGTATATGGATTAGATTTTATGTATCAGAAATTTGGTCAACACATTGCTCCCACACGTCTTTCCCATCTCAGTCTATACAGTGTCAGTGAACATTTCTAACTACACTAGTCATATTCCCTAGCCTGTGCCCCCTTCTTTTGGCCAATGTGAGGATAGGTGAATGTGGTTGTTTTCATCTAATTACAGGTCTAATTCTATGGCAATGATACATGCCAGTTGCCTCTGTTGCTTTGAGTCCTCACAGAGAATTCAGAGCATTCTTAGATTTATCTTTCTTCTGTGCCAAATGAGCAGTGAAATCAGTCATGTTTATCCCCAGAAGTTCTAAACTTCAGAGTTTCCAGAGAAAGGGGATCACCTAGTTTTCAGTCTTGAACATGCTCTATTCCAAGCACTGACTTGGTAAATAGCAAATATGCACCTTAAGGAAAGTATTTGACCTAAACCAACAGAAACAATGCCTTAAAGTGTTTGAAACCTCATCCAGAGGGCGGCCTCAAAAGGGGGGAAAAAAAAAAACACAAACCAAAATACAGAAGATGTGGACTGAACTAATACGAGAAAACATTTCTTTATTAATTACTGAAGGACTGCAATAAAGCCAGATTTCAAAAATATTAGTAAAATATTTTTGTATGACAAAATGCAACTATTTCCTAAATAACAATGAGTTCATGCACTTGAATAAAGTTCCCTTTTAAACACAACAGTTGATTGCTTTTATTTCTACTGCTAAACTTTTATGTGATTCTTCCTTGGTTTTCAATATGCATATTTGATTTTAATTTTTAAACAGAATTTTCACAGTAAGAATATAAGA